CTTTATTCTTCTACTTCAGTCTTTGAGGAAACAAAGGTAATGGTTTTTTTAATTTTTCTAAAGGAACCTGTGTTTGTTCATTTTCCTATTGAGCATTTTCCATTTCTTCCTTCTGTTCATCAACTTCAGTTTCTCTTTGGATTCTTGTTTCAACTTTTTTTCCACTTCGTAATTGAATAAATTTAATTTGATCTTTATTTTGATATTTTGGATTAACTTCCACAGTACTCGGAAGAATTCCAGAAGGTCTGTTAATAAGTGCAGTAGCAATATGTCCTAATTGATTTTCAATATCTCTAGTAGCTATCCTTGAATCTGTATTTGATTTCCCATATTCAACATCACTTCTTGCATCATCAACTTCATTTCCTTAACTTGTGGGTTAGGATTGGAGTTAAATCCTGAAGGATAATAAGGTTGAAAATTAGGATTTCCTTGATTGTTCAGATTTATAGATGAATTCACCGAATTGTTATAATTATTCCAACTAAAATTAGGGTGTTTTTTCCATCCAAGGTTAAAATAGTTAGAATAGGGATTATTATTTCAGTTATTTATAGAGTAAGGTTTCATAAGATGGTTGAAAATCAATAATCTGTCCTAGTGAATTTTCCTCTAATACTGAGGGTATTTGAGAATACTTCACTCCTATTTGATCAATCTTTTTAGAAATAGTAGCAGTTTGAGATGCCAAAATAGACATTGCATCAAAATCATGAATATTGGCTACTCTCTTAGGATTTACCCTTTCAGAGGGCAATTGAAAATTGTTAGTAGACATTTCTTCAATTAAAGAATATGCTTCATCAAAAGGCTTTGACATTAATGACCCGCTCGTAGTAGCATCTATAATAGATCTTAATGATCCTACTAATCCATTATAAAAGATTTGAATTATTAACCAATCTGGCAAAAGATGGTGCGAACATTTTCTAAAAAGACTTTAAATCTTTCCCAGGCTTCAAATATCGATTCCCCTTCAAATTGACAAAATGATGTAATATCATTTCTAAGCTTTGCAGTTTTTTAGGGTGGAAAATATTTAACCAAGAATTTTAGTGATATTTCTCCCCAAGTTCTAATAGATCCAGAAGCTAATGAATTTAACCAAGCCTTGGCTTTATCCCTTACTGAAAAAGGAAAAAGTCTAAGCCTAACAACATCATTCGACACTCCGTCTTATTTAAATGTAGCACAAATTTCAAGAAAACTAGCAAGATGTAAGTTAGGATCTTCAGTAGGTGATCCTCCAAACTGATTATTTTGTATCATTTG